CAAAGTATTTGTCAGGGCATTGAAACCATGGAAATATACATAAACAATGATTCCAAAGTATTTGTTAGAGCATGGAAATATACATAAACAATGATTCCAAAGTATTTGTTAGAGCATGGAAATATACATAAACAATGATTCCAAACTATTTGTTAGAGCATTGAAACCATGGAAATATACATAAACAATGATTCCAAAGTATTTGTTAGAGCATTGAAACCATGGAAATATGCATAAATAATGATTTTGAGCCATAACTGGCTCAGTGCTGATGTAATTGTAGATGTAAAATCCAATTTTAACTGTTTTCAGTAAATACACATTTTTCTCCAGGATGCTCCTTTCAGTGATTAGTTCTGCGGGACAGAATTTTTTTATACAAAACATTTCTCTTTGAACCAAAAAAATTATTAGCCTAAGTGGTAGCAATTATTATTGTTACAATATATTATCAAAGTGTTTTTAAAACTCAACATTTTGGTATTTCTTGATCTAGAGGCCATGAGTGAACTTACAATAAACAAACTGAGCCACTATTCTGCCCCTGTGTCCGGAGGGACTGAGATCATTCTTCTGTGTGATAAAGTTACTAAAGGTAAACTCATCATCAAATGTTTTCCTCTAACTTTTAAGTTTCTCTGCTCATTTTTACTGACCTAAAATTATTGTTTTTTGTTATTATTTCAAGTACATATATTAAACGAGATTAGGTTAATTTTTCTAATACTTTAACGGTAAAAATCGCTATTAGCAATCCTACAGAAAACTTGAAAATCTTGTTTCTCTTCTATCATTAGTCTTGAAATGAAAAAGTGTTTTGAACTATAAGTAGTATCGTGGTTGTAAATATTTTGAGTATAGTAAATACATAAAGAAAATTTAGATACTGGTTCTCTTCTCTTGTAGATGACATTAAAGTAAGGTTTTATGAAGAAAGAGCAGGACAGGTGGTTTGGGAAGCTTTTGGGGAGTTTCATCCAAATGAAGTACATAAACAAGTAGCAATTTCATTCCGCACACCTAGATATCAAGATGAAAATGTTCAGCAGCCTGTGCCTATCTTTGTTCAACTGTATAGACCATCCGACAGTAGTAGTAGTGATCCTCGACCTTTCCAGTTGCTACCAATGGACAGAGGTAAACACAGGTTTTAGAATGTAATCTTTGAAACTAGTTTCACATGTACCTTTTGTTTTTGTTAAATATGTGTATACTTGGATGTATTTGTTGCTAAATTTGATTGCACTTCCTTAATATCTTTTGGTGTTTGTTTTTTAAAAATTCACATTTTTAGCATACTTCATCTATTTTTTTTAAGTTATTGTGAATATCAACCTTATTTTTAAATTTTAATTCAGATCCTGAGGGTCTGAGCAGAAAACGACAAAAGATACAAGATGGTTGTTTAGACAGGTTTCTGAATGAAAATGTATTTGTTGGCACAATCCCAGGTGCAGAAGGTGAGTGGAAGCAAAAAAAAACTTTCTATTTTAGTATTTAAAACTGTAGGTGTCGCTAAAAACATCTGTTTTGTATTATGTAATATTAAATCATAAAAAAGATCTATTACTTGTTTTCCAGTTTATTTTTGAAATAAGGTGATTAACTTTTGTTTTCATTTGTGAAACTTGTACAATTTGTAACTTGCGTGAGCTTTATTAAATTAGTCCTGTACATATTTAAAACAGGTCCACTGACAAGTCATACCATTCCAAGAACCATCAAGCAGGCAACAAGGACTGTCTTAAAACCAGAGTCTGGTAAGAAGTTTTGTTTTTACACTGCATTTTGTAGTTTTAAAAAGAATTAACCTGACTATTAAAAATGTGTATGTTTATTACATGACTATCAGTTCCCAAAAAATTATGAATCTGTTAAATCATCCAACAGAAATACTGTTTGTTTGCTTAAAGTCTAGTTGGATTCATTAAAAAAACATTTCTTTTAGCACCAGAAAGAAAACATATTCAACTACCAGGACCATTCCTTCAACCACGGCGGCTGTCTCAGCACTCTACCTTCACTCCAGATCTCCAGGCTGATGCTACCAGTGGAAGCCTTATTACAATGGGAATTGCTTCTCCACTAAACACTTGCATAAGCTCAACCAACTCTTCTGTCATTGAGCATCAAGATACAGTTAGTGTGTGTTCCCCTTATCATCCAAACACTTCTCAAGGTACATCATGTACAGAGGACATTTTGGCAATTGCTCCCAAGCTGGTTGATTCTGTTCCCAAGTGTGAGCCATCTGGTGCTATGGAAATACCTCAAAATTCAGAAATGTTTTTGGAGGAAGCTACTGAAAAACTGGACAGCTTAGATCTTGGGATACGTCAAAGTGACATACAAAACATTCTTGATATCATTGGAACAGAAACTTTACCTCATAATCTTTCCCAGAGCCTGTTTGATAGTGGGAACAACTTGTCTCTGACAAACCTGCCAGAAACCACCAATGCAGAGGATATGAACACCTCAACAGACAGTTTTTCTCACTTGCAAAATGAACTGGAAATGCTGAATGTTCTGTGCAAGTCCAGGCCAAATGAATCAACTTAACTTTACCATAAGGAATGTCATGTTTTTGTTCCGGTGTTTGTGTTCAGTGCCCAAGAGCTAATCTTTTCACAGCTGTGATGTAATTAAACTATCCACAAAAAGAGGGAAAAATATACCAATCTCAGTTGATGCACACATTTCCCCTCCTATTTGAATATAGGTAAACAGAACTCAGGTAGTGTACCTGGAATGTCCTTTTGTTATTGTAGTTTGAGTTTGTATGTTCATCATAATACTGGAATGTTATGTACAGTCTACAGATGGTTTATGAATAGAGAAAAATATATATATGTAGAAATGAAATATGACTGGATACTTAATTGTCTTTAAAAAGTTTTAATTCATTCCATATAAACTTCAAATGTGCCTGATTGTTGTGTAATGTAAAGTGTTTATAGAGTAAAATAAGCTATAGTTTATGATGTTTTCATAATTATTTGTTTGTAAGTCAGGCATTTTATCTCCTTTAAAAGGACATTATCCTTGTATAATTATATCATTTCCATTATAGACAGGCAGTGAGATATATTTTAAAAAAAACATTTCATAACATTGCCATGTTCTGTTGATACAAAAGACTTACTTAGATGACAGCTGTTTAAATGTGATGTTAAGTATATCATGGTATGTAATTTTTGTTTGCATATAATTTTAAAGCAAGGATTCAAAATTTTGTTTAATATTTGTTTTTATAGTGGATTTTTTTAATGCATAAATGTAAATATATTTTCCTAACTAGCTTTTTGTATGCTTGTGAATGAAAATTGTTTGTTTACATTAAAAACTGCTGTTACTTTTAAGCCTTTTTGGATGAAATCAAAAGCAACAGTCTGAGGTAACAATATATTGAAGAAGAAAATATTTTAATGTCTGTTAGAATTTAATATTGGTCACCTTGGAACTGATGGGAACCTAATGTTAAATCTGTTGTCATACCAGAAGAATATTGAACAGAAATTTGTATGTATATAGTAATAATAAATTAGGAATATTTGGCCTAGTGTTTTAGGTTGAAGTCAAATTTCCAGCATAGTAAATGTAAGTTTTAAAACACAAGTCAGTGTTCTTTGTGTGTGTGTGTGTGTTCTCTTGCACTTCTAATTGTTGGTGAAACAGTTTTTGTGTAAAGTTTCTATTCAATGCAAAGTGTAGACTCAAAAGTGATACTGTTTTCAGGAAGGGCATCCAAATTGTTTCTATGTTTATTTTTGTTATTTCATCTTCCTAAATTGAGGTTACCACTTGAAATAACCTTTCTGCTGATAGTCCATCACTTAAGGTCTGTAAGTCTGTTAAACACACATGAATTATTAATTTGATTGATCTACTTTGTTTTTATTTGACATTTTTGTTCCTGTTGTCATTACTTGCAGAATTTTTAAGCACCGACCAGTAGAGACTCGGATCCCAGTTTTATTAATGATTTTATTAATATGAACTACATAGTTATAGAAAACAAGGTAACAATAATAAATACCTCTTGCCACCGAATTGCAAATCTTGGTTAATGTAATTAACGTTTTCTTCGCTAACCTTTATTAATGGCAGGAAAATGTAATGATACTTTACAATCCCATTGCTAATTAGATATCATTTTCCACTGCCCATATCAAGTAGATTATATGTGAAGTTTAACTTGGAAGTCTGGTATGTTGATATACTAATAATTGTGAAGGCATTTAAGTTAGTGCTCTCCTTATTGAAGCATTGTAATAGCATGCTGCCCTCAGAATAGTGACTTGGTTAATTTCTTTGAGTTCAAATAAAAACATGCAGGAAAAGGACAAGATTTAAACCTCAGATTTATTCAAAGGTAGTGTTCTCAAATAAACCAGCTCAATATATTTTCAAGTCATATAAAAATAATAATAATAAAATATGGATTCCCTTTTTTAAGCCAACAGATTATTTTCTATTGTATATGTCATCTATAAATAGACATTTGGCAAATAAGAAAAACCACTATGACTAATGGTGAAACTTGAATGTCCAGCAGTAATAACAATAATTAGCAATTCTTAGCTAGTAATCATTGTGTGGTTTAAAAACTTGTAAAAATTGCCAGTATTTGTAGATATGTGAAGTACCATTACCAGCAATGGTACCCAACTGATGAAACAATGCATTCTATCTAATCTAAGTAGGAAAAGTATACTTAACTAGCTATACTCATTACCAGGTTAATTTTTAGTTTCACTTTAAGTAGGAAGCCTCCTCTGAGCAAAATTTAATATTAAAATAAAGAATAAAGCCACTGACATATGTACAGTACATAAAAAACAAAGGAACGAAAAAGTAGATGAATTTTACAGATTATAGACCATTTTTTAAAGAAAATATGGGACAAATTTTTTTCATTTAAAGAAATGTTTTAAAAAATGTCACCCACTACACCATGTTATTCTGTAGAAACTAGTACTAAAAGGTTTTTCAACCTCACAAAATGTTTATGTACTTACCAGTAATAAGTCTTTTCAAAGTGATTATTTGAAAGTAAAACTTATTAGACCACTGATCTTGTGATTTGGGGCGGATGAAAAGAACCCACACACAGAGAAAAAGAATAGCATTGCATACGTATAGAGTAGTAAGCCGTGCTATCAGTGTCACCTTTCCAACACCACTGTTCATAAGTAATCGACTCATTTTTTGAAAAACGTAGCTTAGAGATAAAACAAAATGCAAACGTAATAACGGGAAACATTTATTAAGCAATTCTGAAACATTTAATAAATGCTTCATGTTATTACATTTTGCTGCTGTTATGCTTGTGTCCAGTTGGACCACTCAATCACTGAAGTTTTGTCCAGTGTTGAAGCGTGTCTTAGTTCACTAAATCCAACCTGAAAAAAATCATTATATGGCAAAAACAATAAAATTAAGGGTAAATAATTTATACCACCAGTGAAACTGGAGTCTACCTAAATTTTCTACACAAAACATAATTGTAATAGCAGCTAATCATATCACTTCCAATGCAAGATAGTTGCTACAGGAGACTGAATGAAGGACAAGTTATTGTGTGAAAAATATGGTGCTAACATTGCTTAAATGAAAGTGAGAGAAAACAATCAAAATAATGTTTTTTTTTTTATTGTCCAGTTGAACTTTAAAGTTTTAAAGAAAAAATTACATTTTTAATATAGTTTTTGGATATTTTCTATCCTTTGTATTTTGTGATTCATATCTGATAAGTTTTAGTAGTGGTACTATTTTTTTATTGTAAACAGAGCTTCAGTGTTTTAGTTGGTTTTGCAGTTGAAATAGTTTTTGGATTTCATGTAATTACAAGAATCTTCAGTGAATGAGGTCTATAAAATGACCAATTAGAAGAATAGTTTTTGAAAATTGCATATGTTTATACAAAGATTGCAACTTTAAAAATATATATATATACCCTTTTTTCTTCTTCTTCTTTTCTGTTTGTTACATAAGGATTCTTGTTAATATACAACAGGCATTTTGCTTTTTTTTCTTCTATTATTATATTGGTATTGTTAGTACTATTTCACTTTTTTTCTTTATAAATGGTTGTTTTTGGTGCAAAAGTTAAATCTTTTTTTGTTAGATTTTCACTTCTGTAAGCTGTAATTCTTTTTATTAGTGTTCTTTATCAAATAATGTCTATTAGTTTATTATAATATTTCAACGTCCTGTATTCCTATAGCCATGGAACAAATAAAACTAACTATTAGATCCAAAAATTACTTTCTAGTGAAGTGGTATGTAATAGTGGTATGTAATTTTCTTTCTTCTGAACTTAAATAAAAAAAAAAAGTTCTATCTTAGACAGTAAGCCGTCAAAATTCTAAAGGCAAAAAAACAACAACAAACAAACATGGTTTATCAGTAGTCCTTTCTCTATATTAGTAGCAACCGTGTAGGAAAAGGTGTACAATATTGACCAATTTAATCATTGATTCAACTACCATTAGGATTGACTGACTGTGCTAAGCATTATCTATGGGTCAACATTCTTAAATGGGCAGTCATTTGTGTTTAGTATGGTTTAGATCAAGTTTTATAGATATAAAACTAATCAACAGCTATAGTTAAATACCTGAAATTTGCAGTGATAGCCATAGCAAGATCTACATTGTTCCCACCTACAAATGTTAAGTTAGATAACTCCAGACTAAAAGTTAAACCAACTCACTGCTCTTGTTGTGACTACATTGTTCCCACCTACATATGTTTAGTTAGATAACTCCAGACTAAAACCTAAACCAACTCGCTGCTCTTGTTGTGACTACATTGTTCCCACCTACATATGTTTAGTTAGATAACTCCAGACTAAAACCTAAACCAACTCACTGCTCTTGTTGTGACTACATTGTTCCCACCTACATATGTTTAGTTAGATAACTCCAGACTAAAACCTAAACCAACTCA